GTGTAGCGCTGAGCTAACACATATATATGGTGATAGCATCGGGGCTAATGCTAAAGCTAACAGGCTAAGTTGAGGTTCTTCTTCATCAGATCATCAGATATTGTCCAAGATTAACCTTCAGGGTGGATATAGCTCGCTAGCAGCCTCGCACCGAGGACCTATCCACGTCATCATTTACCCAGAATGCTTTGCGTGGAAATAAAATGGCCCCGTCCGTGTAATATATTTTAAAACTTTTAGTCTAAAAATGATAAAAACTGAACATCTTACAGTATTTTTACAGTCTTTATTTTACAGTTAAAATAAATGTTTATTAAATAAAGTCTAATGTTACAACTAATCGGGGATCCCTTTAACATCGGATGGAAACATGACTGTAGTGTCTGTTTGATCTCCATCCATGACTTTTTGGTTGTTTGACTATCTTTATAAATTCAGGGTACAACAGTTAGATTCTGGAAGTGAGTAGTTAAAACTAAAAAAAGCGTCTGAGCGCAAAACACGCCTACCAGCGTCTGACCACATAATTATTTATTATGCGGAGGGGGGTGAAAAGTTCTCCCAGCAGGTTTTGTCAAGAAAGTGCAGAAGACTCAAAACTGCAAACAGAATGAGGCGATTTTTGTCATGCGACTGCGAAAATGAGAGCTGATTTCCTCAGTTTTGATATAGTGTGCAGAGGCCTTAAAACAATGGATCTCTCACTTCCTATTCAAAGTCCTCACTCTCTCAGACTGGTTTCCTTTTTCATCTTTACCTCTTCTGCCTGAAGGTTCTGATTCTACAACTGTCCATTTCTGTCTCCGCAGCTCCATCCTCCATCTCAACCACACTGATATTAAGTTTTTTGTAAGATTTACTTGAAAAAATCCTCGTAACTATTTGCACTAACGTTTGTTAAGTAAATTTAAATGCTACAAATTCAAGTAATATTTACTCTCATGATTATCTAGTAAAGGTTACTAAGAATATAGTTAAAGATTTGTGAATAAATCAGGCAAATTTTACTTAATTTGCTCATTTAAATCTTGTTACATATACTTGATCAAATTAAGTAAAATTTACCTGATTTATTCACAAATCTTTAACTATATTCTTAGTAACTTTTACTAGATAATAATGACAAAATATTACTTGAATTTGTAGCATTTAAATTTACTTTACTAACGTTAGTGCAAATTGTTACGAAGATTTTTTTAAGTAAATCTTACAAGTTCTTTATAACAGTGCACATGCGTCACACACAATATTGTATCATGACACCTCACAGCTACAGAGAGGTGTAGCTCTTCTTGTAGTTCGAGACTTCACCACCAGGTGGCGGTTTTGAAGAAACTTTATTGGATTCTTCTTCATGAACAACACAGACAAAGTGAAACTCACAGGTCTTATTAATGACTAGGCCTACCACTCTCACTTATGGTTACTTCTGCTGAACGCTTTAACACAAGTTAACAAATAAAGAACATACAAATTAGAGTAGCACAACAGACTAATCGCTGAAAGAACAATGTTAACGTTAATGTTAAGATTAATTAAATAAATGTTAATACACCCAAAAGTTTGTTTTTTCAGTACAGAAGCTACTGCTTCACATTCAAAAATCACGTCATGGTTCTGATTCAAACACACTAAAACAGACATACATTTAACTACAGCCAAACTATAAAACCAAAGCACACTAAATATCACAAATCTCTCACAGCTCTACTCACTCCTGCTTTAGCTGTATCACTTCCTTCAACTTCCGCTTCTTTTTTCCCCTTCTTCCTGTAGAATATTTGTTGCTTAAATAACTTTGGGAGTCAGTCAGAACAGAGGTGGGGGGTTGTTTGTTTGCCGGGGATGGAGGTGTTTTCTCCAAAAGATTGCTGGTTTTTAATGCTGCCTCCAACCTTGCATGATAAAAATCTGGCGTTCTCGCACCATCTGATCCCTGGCGTGGCGTCACAGCCCATAGATGGAAGAGGCTGTTTCCAAAGCCATGACTGGAACAGCTTGAAATCATCACAAAAACTACATTTTTGCAACTTTTGCCACAGAACATAGTTGTTATGTCTTGATCATAGTTTGCTGGATATGTAATATTAAAAAATGGTGTACCTACATACATACTACCATCTACAACTTGCTAACTCTCACATTGACACAATTCAAGATGGCTTCCACAGCTAAGTTAGATTAGACAACATAAAAACATTTCCAACTTTATTTCTACACATTCTCTATGTTCTAACACACCCTGTGAGATCTCACAATGTTGCATCAGAGCTTACAGAACATTTTAACCAAAATTCTGTCCCTTCTCAAAGAATGCTAGGAATTTAATTTAAAAAATGTACAAAGGATACCAAGCAATGGTTAAAGTCTCAACTCTTGTCTTTTTTTACCCCTCCTTTCACCTTCAGGTCAAAGTTTACCCCTTATCGCAGCATGAGCACGGAGCAGATGATGTTCTGGTTCTGGGAACTGATGGTCTGTGGGACGTCCTCTCAAACCAGGAAGTCGCTGAAGCGGTCAGTGGTTTCCTGGCAAACTGTGACCCAGACGACCACCACAGGCATGTTCACTCATCATCCTCAGTCAGGCCTGAACTTCCGCTCACCCCAGTCTTTATTTTGAGAGAATGAACCGAGTTATCTTGTATCTTGTTCAAGCATTTCTTGAAGTCATTCCTCAGAAGTTAAAGAAAAGCTTGTGAGACAGTCTGCTTACACATTGGTCTTATTTGGTACTACAAATGTCATTAAAACCATGAATCACTTTTGTTTTGTCAGGTACACAATGGCAGCTCAGGACCTCGTCATGAAAGCCCGAGGGGTGCTGAAGGATCGAGGCTGGAGAATATCCAATGACAGATTAGGCTCCGGAGATGACATCTCTGTCTACATTATCCCCCTCATGTATGGAAACAAGCAGAACTAAGCTACAGAACCACTACATAACCCCGTCCTGGACTCTGTGTAACCTCTTTCACATCTTTTTTTAAAGTGCTTTCACGTGGATTTTCTGATTTACCAATCGTCCGGGTTGTTGTTGATTTTTGTGCAACAGAAACTGAGATAGGAAATAATGAAAGGTACTGCTGAAGGCTTTGATTTATTTTTGGAATGGAATTCAACATTTGTCATCAGTGTATGTTCACACACAATGACAAAATTGGTGCTCTGCATTTGACCCATCACATGAGAAACACCCAAGTGGAGCTGCGGGCAGCTATGTAGGCAACCCATTCTCACTCCCAACTCGTCAACATATTGACGCTTGGTCAGGTAGCCGTCTGCGTTCAGTTTTGATGCGTCGGGTAA